TCATGTAGTAGCCTGTGTGGATAACTTACAATGCTTTTGGGTAATATTCTTCATGCAGTGGTGTAGGATTTGTTATCACACCAGTTTGCAAGTACCCTCTTGTTTCTTTACTTTTTTACAATTTAATCCTACTACTTTTTCATTTTTAATGTTTTTTATTTACTTGTGTAATATCTGTACAATGAAGGTGATTGAAATTACAATGAAAGAATACAATAATATTAAAAGTATAAATAATATGTACATGTAAATTAGCTAAATATTTAAGTAACTGTACATTTACATGTACACGTACATAAATGATAAAACAGCTCAACAAGCAAAGGACAATACATGTACATGTATTACTATGACTTATGTGTGCGTGATTTGTGAAAAGTTTTTCACTACATAAAAAAGAACCCAGTATAAGGTACACATGACAAGTATGCATGTATTTAAATATTATTATGAGCAAACTTATTATTATTAACAAGCAAAGGAGAATACATGTACATGTGTACATGTACATGTAAGTATTTATACATCTAAATATTATCATGACTTGTGTGTGTGTGTGTGTGATACTTGCAGTCTGTACCTTCTCAATGTGTTGCTGTAGATTCCTCACTCCACTCTCCCTGCAGTACCACTTGATGAGGGACTGGAGAGCATCAGTTTCTATAAGGACCTGCCCCTCCTCCAAACCAGAGGAAGAATGAGCTTGAGGTCAGGCCCGTAGCCAGGGGGGGTTCGGGGGGTTCGGACGAACCCCCTGTTGTAGCTGCAAAAAGTTTTAGATTAGCTCCTGTCATGAAGAACAGCACTGCAAAAGCAGGATTAGCATTTTGGCAACAGCGAGAAGCACAGATAGCCATTTTAGCTGAGTCAGCACATGGCTGAGATGCGTAAATTAAGACCACGCCTATCAACCACGCCCATTTTCGTCAAAATTTTCGCTGCGCGCTTCGCGCGCAGCAATCTCCGAACCCCCTATTTCAAGTTCCTGGCTACGGCCCTGGAGGTATCAGGTAATTCTGAGCAATGCCTTCCTTCTCTTCTGATATATAACCAGAGACCTAAGAGTGAGATTAAGAATGATATAATAGTCTATGGTGTTTCAAAAACCTTTAATGTAAAAAATCCAATTTCAATCGGAATTAGCTTAAACTTTGCACGCAACATAAGAACATGTATATGCATCAGGAACAATCATAAAAATGGAAATTTTTCAACTTTTCATTTTTGATGAAATTGGGCCAAAGTCATTGAGGGGACTTTTGTCCAATTTTTTGAGCAACTTTAAAAATTTGTAAAAAATTCAATTTTGATCAGAATCAGCTCAAACTTTCTACACAGTATAAAAACATGTATATGTATCAGGAAAAATTATTAAAATGAAGAATTCTAAACTTTTAATTTTTGGTGAAATTTTGTCAACAACCCTGTACTATAGTACAGGGACTTTTGTCCAATTTTAGAGCAACTTTAAAGATTTGTAAAAAAAAATCCAAATTTGATCAGAATCAACTAAAAATTTCTACGTAGTATAGGAACATGTATATGTATCAGGAAATGTAATAAATATAGAAAATTCTCAACTTTTCATTTTTGACAAAATTTGGCCAAAATCCCTGTACTATATATAGTACGGGGACTTTTGTCTAATTTTGAGCGACTAAAAAATTGA